CTGGAACGTCCTGACATAGATCAGCGCAGCTATGTTAGGTCCTTCGACTCCAGACTGCATACCGCCACCGCCTGTTCTATATATGTGCCCCATTTTTTTGAGGTAGCCTGAGCTGCCGCCTATTTCGCGGATACCATTTGCTAATAAAAGAAATCCAGCAGTCGCGGCAAAGCGAGTAATATGCTCTGCCCATCGTATTATACTTTCTCCAGTGTTCGCAGTGGCAACCCGCACACGGTTCATCTGATGAAGAGTCTGATTTTGTATGTGGTCATAGAGGGATACGTCAAGAACTCTTCGTTCCATCGCTCTTCCCGTCACTGCTATCTTTCGCTCTTCAGCTTTCGTGAGTGGCCATGTTTCGCATCCGTATGTCACTGCCTTTGACATTGCGTTATTAAAGAGATGGACAATCTGAGAGCATCGGTAACGCTGTGAAACTTGTGAGAACCGGCGGCTCTTCAACGTGTAACGGCTGGAGAATGCGGCACACGTTTCCTATCCAAAAGGGAAGTCAGCTTCTTCTGTCGATTTCTTTCAAGCCTTTGTTAACTTCTTACTAAATTGTCTATCAGCAGTCTTGCTGCGGGTATTCGTCACTTTGAAATTTTAAAATTCCGACAAAATATCATTAGTAAAAACGCACTATGCCTTAATGCAACGTAAGACTCACTTTCAGATTACAAACACTATTCAATCATTTTTTATAATTTAATCAGCATTCGATTATATTATGAGTTGCAGTTTTTCTGATAAAATATAATTCACTAATATGGAACAGCGAACAGGAAATCTGCATAATATACGAATGTGATAATGAAACGAATAGACCTCAATTGTTGTAACGCCATTAGGAATATTCATGGTCGTGTCCATTTCATCGTCACATTTGGGCAGCACCATCTAAAAGTTATTATTTTACATAAAAGCACATTTCGAATAAAACTTGATTAGCAAAGATTTTGGAGGGAAACGCCTGATGAAAAATAGCGGCGCACACCAGGGTAACTGGTATGGTTCCAGCAAACGGTTGTGCAATTCTGTCCAGCGCACGTTTTTTCAATCCTGCCCAAGTGATGCTTGTGCAACTTTGTTCAAAGAATTTTACTGTTAAAAGTGCCCATTGTACTTGATACTACCCAAGAACTGAATTTATACGTGGACAGGACCATTATTCTGAAATTTTAAATTCCCAACTTCCCCGGTTCCTGAATTATTAATTTAGGCACCAAAACTTCCACACGTCCGTACGCGAGACCAAGGCGTACTTGGAGAGTGAATTTAATTTTTCTGGGTCACACGCCAGCAAGAAATACTCTCCTAAAATTTCAGCTTCCTGGCTTCTGTGTTTCCCAAGTTACCGATTTTTTCACCAGAACTTTACACTGTGTTTGTGCGTGAGACCTAAACGTGCATTAGGACAGAATTTACAGGCAGGCAAAAACGTTATCCTGAAATTTTAGCCTCTTACCTTCTGTGCTTCACGAGTTATTAATTTAGATGCCAACACAACTGATGCCCAGCGCGCGGATGCTGAATTTGAGTTTGTGAAATCAAACACAGGTAAAGGTCTTCCTTAAAATTTTAACTTTTTATGATCCCCGAATTGAAATCCTCGGGTAAAATGCATTCAAAAGAACGCGCGCACACGCCCACATACAAAGACAGGGTCCCGAAAACACGCTTTCTGCGCAACTGATACAGCATAAAACGCATAAAAACTCTTAATGCAGCTACACATGAAAGAACAAGTTACTGATAGAGTCCAGATTAACAATGTAAAACTCTCAATACCACTAAGATGCAATCACTTGCCGTAAACGATGTCACCTTAAAATTTTCAATGTTCTTCAAAGTAGCTGTTTTCACTCGATTTTACCATCAACAATTA